TTTGGTAGAGAAAGGGGTCTTGCCATGTTGCTCAGGCTGAACTCAAATTCCTGGCTTCAAGGGATCCTCTTCACTCTCCTCCCTCATCCTCCCAAAGTGTCAGGATTACAGTGTGAGCAACCACACGTGGCCTCCTAGTGGTTTTTATAATATATATTATTTTTTCTGATACTGCCTCTTTCCTATTCCAATTTGATATCCTTCGAATATTTCTATTAGATGTGTATTTGATTTTCTTACTCTATTTTCCATGTTCATTAAACGTTTATATTATCAAGCCATGTGCATCATGAGTATTGTTTTCAGAACTATCTCTCTAGTTAATTTGCTCCTTATTTGTGTCAGATCTTCTGTTTAACTCTTTGTTATCTTTCATTTCTAGAAGTTCTGTTTGATTCTTTTTACATCTGTCTTCTCATTTTATTCATTAATCATTTTATCATTGTTTTAATTCCTTTATTTCTTTATATATTAGAAATTTTTCTATTTCAGATTTTATATCCGATAACTCTAAAATCTGAACTATGTGGAGATCTAAATCTGCCTTTTGTTTTCTCTACGCTGTTTACTATGGTGGTGGTGATAGTGGTGACAGGGGTATCAGTGATGTATTTGTGTGTGTTTTAATTGTGAGCTCATTTTAGGGGAAACCTTATCTGTAGATGTTCTTTGGTATTAGGACCAAGGATACATTGCCTCAGAAAATAATTGTTTTCATTTGTGCAACCAACCCTGAATCACATTGAATTTATTTTAAGCAACTTTGTACAGAAGCAACACTGGCGCACTGTAGAAAATTAGAAGAAAATAGATATTATAAATAGTTCCAGTGCGAGAAGATTGCTAGTACTATCACCTGAATATATATACTTCTGGATCTTTTTTCTTTATTTGTGTGTTTGTAATTGTTTTAACATGTTTACATTTTAGTTTTAAACAGTGACCATGCTATTGCATATCTTTGGGGAGATAGCCCTTCCTTATCCCTATTAATGCCAAATAAGTCAGCTTCTTCCTTTGTAGGGTTCAGTTTTTTGTTTTTTTTTTTCCTGTCTTCTCTTTTAACTGAGGCTTGTTTTTTACTTTCTTTTGTGCTCAGTCATACAGCTATGGCATCATAGCTCACAGCAACCTCAAACTCTTGGGCTCTTTGATAATATCCAGCATCCTTTCATGATCAGAATTCTTAAGAAAATAGGCATAGAAGGGACATTTCTTAAACTGATAGAGGCCTTTTACAGCAAACCCACAGCCAATATCATATTGAATGGTGTAAAATTGAAAACATTTCCACTCAGATCAGGAACAAGGCAAGGATGCCCACTGTCTCCACTGCTATTTAACATAGTAATGGAAGTCTTAGCTATCTCAGTCAGGCAAGAGAAGGCCACCAAGGGTATCCAAATAGGGTCAGAGGAGATCAAACTCTCACTCTTTGCTGATGACATGATCCTATACCTGGAAAATCCCAGGGACTCAACTTCAAAACTCTCAGAAATAATCAAGGAATACAGCAGTGTCTCAGGATACCAAATCAATACTTACAAGTCAGCAGCTTTTATATACACCAACAGTAGTCAAGCTGAAAAAACAATCAAGGACTCTATTCTTTTTACAATAGTGCCAAAGAAGATGAAATATCTGGGAATTTACCTAATAAAGCACGTGAAAGATCTCTATAAGGAGAACTATGAAACTCTGAGAAAAGAAATAGCTGAAGATGTTAACAAATGGAAAAACATACCATGTTTGTGTCTGGGAAGAATCAACATTGTTAAAATGTCCATACTACCCAAAGCAATCTACAGATTTAATGCAACCCCTATTAAAGCACCATTGTCATACTTCAAAGAACTTGAAAAAATAGTACTTCATTTTATATGGAATCAGAAAAAACCTCAAATAGCAAATACATTACTCAGAAATAAGAACAGATCAGGAGGTATCACATTACCAGACTTCAGGCTATACTATAAATCTATAATGATGAAAACAGCATGGCACTGGCACAAAAACAGGGCAGTAGATTTATGGAACAGAATAGAGAATCAAGAGATGAACCCAGCTACTTATCGTCATTTGATCTTCAACAAGCCTATCAAAAGTATTCAGTGGGGGAAAGACTCCCTATTTAACAAATGGTGCTGGATGAACTGGCTGGAGACCTGTAGAAGACTGAAACTGGACCCCCACCTTTCACCATTAACCAAAATTGATTCTCACTGGATAAAAGATTTAAACTTAAGACATGAAACTATAAAAATACTAGAAGAGAGTGCAGGGAAAACACTTGAAGAAATGGGCCTGGGAGAATATTTTATGAGGAGGACCCCCTTGGGCAATTGAAGCAACACCAAAAACACATTACTAGGATCTAATCAAACTAAAAAACTTCAGCACAGCCAAGAGCACAGAAAGTAAAGCAAACAGACAACCTTCAGAATGAGAAAAGAATAAATAACCCCATTTCTATGTGGGCAAGAGACTTGAACAGAAACTTCTCTGATAAAGACAGGCACATGGCCTACAAACACATGAAAAAATGCTCATCATCCTTAATCATCAGAGAAATGCAAATCAAAACCACTTTGAGATATCATCT